TTTCTTAGGATATATTTCAAAACGTCACCGAGGAAAATTTTATTCGAAATATATAATACACGTAATATTATATGCTATAGTACATATAGAGTAAAATCTTTCTCGGAGAGGACGTTTTGGAACGTAATTTTAAAAAATATAGATAATATTTTTTTGTAATTTAAATTACATAAATGTTTGACAGCTCTTCCGGGATACGCTATTCTCTCTATGGTATTGAGCTCCATCGTGGTCGTCCTCGTCGTCGGTTCAGTATTTATTTATCGGTAAGTTGAGCTTGCTTTTAAACTCAAATTTTATGTATTTTACGTGAATTTATCGATATTGATAACGATATAGATATCTTTTAGTATTACTTTTGATAAATTGAAATTTAGATATCAAGAAATTAAACGGAACGGATAAAACGAGATATTTCAATCGGAATAATATTGTATACTTTACAAATATACTTCACAAAGAGAAAAAAGATGTCTGTAAAAATAGATGTACTGTTTGTATAAAATAAAAACTCATGTATAATAATTTCAATTCCAGTTATTATCGATAGCACGGTTTAAATTATACATATAATAGTTTAAAGTGATCGTTTTCTTTTTTTTATACTCTCTTTTCCTATTTCATTTTAATTGAAGAAGATTAACAAAATCATTTTCTCTGGGAATTGTGTTTCTTATTGCATTTGTGACAAAGCTTCTTATTAAATATATTCTGTAATAATGTATCAAAAATATTCCAATAATTAATAAAAACGTTTTGTCGACAATATTTATTTAATCAGCAGAATAGTTAAAGTAAAACTGATAATAAAATAGCAAAAATTAAATAATTAAAATAATTTTACGTTTAAAGTGTAAAAACGTAATTCAGAGATTTGTTAATATTCGCGCTGATATATATTAATTAGCATAGATTCGCTATTAGAAATTTGAAAGACATTGTCGGTTCGCTTGTTTCTTCGTGAAGAGGTGATTTCGATAATCCCTAAGTAGCACACGTTAAGTGCACATATACCTACATATTGAGGAGGTGTAACTGATTGTAAGAAGAGCTTCGACTTCTTTGATGTATGACATGGTTAAAGGAGAGTAAGGCAAAGAAAGGAAGAAAAAATGAATGAAGCGAGACACTTATCCGTGCTGAAATTTCTCAGATGCTGCGAACTAATCAATTTAATATCATCTGTCCGACTCTACGTTACTTGTCTAGCTAAGTGTCTCTTGTCTCTTCGGATTGGCGCAGTTACAAGAACATTCTTAAGAGCTTAAACGAGTTGTTTCCTTCTATTCCGCAGCGATAATCCAAAATCCCGAAACAATTTAAACAAATATATTCACAATTTAATAAAAAACGTAGATACAAAAATTTGACAAGTGAGATATTAAAATCGGTTATTGAGTGTTACCTCGACAATGAATTGTCACACTTATTTAGTTAGCATTTATATACACGAAAAACAATAATTTAAAATATTGAATAACGAATTAAAAATTTCACAAATTTATTAAGGGGTTACACTACCCAGAAAATGTTTTTTTTTTTTAATTTTTTTATTTGCTTAAATGATGTATAAACTATTTAAAAATAACATTCGAAAAGAATTTTGGTGGAAAGCTGTTATAAATAATTTTTTCAGATTTTTTTCGGAAGCGCCTCTGAGCGCTCCGAAACGTTTGAAAAGGCCGCTCGACCGCGCACAGGATTATAAGGGTATTACAGCTCTGTCGGTAGTTTTAGCAGGTATAAGTGAATTATAGTGAATCTAAAATCTACGAAGATTTAACAAGAGAAGAACTCCTTTCCCGTTGCCTAGGAGGATTTACGCAAAATGCAAACGAAAGTTTTTCGACGCGCTTGGGTAGTGTAACCCCTTAATAATTTTCTTATATATTATAAATAATATATATATATATATATAAATGAAGAATGTCAATGTTGGTAAATTTTTTAGAAATCTCAGTATAAGAATTTTGAAAGCTAATGTCATCATTCAATGTCAGTATAATAGATTACGTATACTATAATACGCTTTAGAATTCACGATAAAATTTATTTCATTAATGCAAAATTACACGAGGAAAGTCAGTATTAAATACTATATAATACAAGAAATAAATATAACAAAATATTTACAGTCTTTATACCTAACATTTGACAAAACAGAAAATGGTAATTACAATAAGCAAAACGTAACATAAAAATCGTGAAATTTGTAAAGTAGATTTAAAATTCTTCCATTTTACAAATTTAGATTAATGACAAATAATGCTAATTGCACACACACAAGTACTGAATTCCGCAACAAATTGCGCAAAATATATATTTGTGAATCTGTAATATCAATATATCGTTAACACACGGGAGAAGCTAATATTTGATTGTTGATTCAGCATTTGCCCATACCTTTAGTTTTCGTTTAATAAAATTTTTATTTGTAACAATCAGCGATTATTTTAGAATGCTGAATTTCGAATTAAGTATAAAAGCTATTAAATCTTATAAAAATTTTTTTAAAGTAAATATTTATTAAACACGTTAATTCGACGAATTTTACATATTCTTATTGTATATATTCTGTCATTTCTTCGTGTAATATATTTGATATTAGAATTATACGTATAGTTTTAATATTATAGTTAATAATAAATTAATTATAATATTGAAAAGTATTATAATTATTCTAATTTAAAGTTATAAAGTTTAACAACTTTGAGATTACATATTTTCAATTTATTATATATATTATAAGTATTATATTTTAAAAATCTAATAATATATAAATATATGGTCACTAAATATATGGTCACTGATAGAATTCAGAATATTCATAATAACGGAAACCTGGTCGTCTGTGATAAAATTTTTGAACGGGTTAGCAATTTTAAGTATTTAGGATCGATTTTAAACCAAACTAATGAAATAAGAGAAGAGCTCAAGAGAAGAATTAATTTGGGGAATGCGTGCTTCTATT